GATCAATTTCTTTTTATATTGTATTAAAAAAATGAACTTTTCAGGCTCACCGAAGGGTACCCCCACGACTGGTGTCATAGAACTATGAAAAAAAACTATTTTGCAATGAAAACCATGTGAATTATGGCATCGAGCATGTCGCAAACGCTCAGACTGCTCACCTTTGTTCTTCCCCTACACACAGTAGGGAAGTCCTTGATGTTCAAACCACCAAAGCACAAAGGGAGTGACAGCACCAATGCTGCAACTCTCACATCAGGCATGTCTTCATCTTGAAATCTCACCAAATTTGCAACCTCTTCTACACAGCGCATGTAGTAGAGACTCGACAGTGCCATTGCACAGCCAGATTGACGTTCAATTGCACGAAAGATACCAGAAACAGCTTCAAGATTGCCCGAAATCTCAGGCAAAGTGTTCCTGCATAAGAGAGCTGATCTGACCATTACTTTCAAAGGCATCAGGATCTCAATACCTTGTGCAAAATAGCGTGACAAATAAATGAACTTGGTGGTTGACAGAATGGATTTAGTTCTGTTTACCGTATCGCCAAGCTCGAGATAGACTTCTTTCAAAAGGCTGAACATTCGTGACGCATCGCCTGCTTTCAGATCTCCACGATGCATGAGTGCAAAAATCACATCGTCAATGTTGGTGAGCGACTGCGCATGCGAAGACACCATAGCTGGGAACATGGCATTCATTCTCCTTAAAAATCTCGCTAAAATATGGCTGTGTCTCATGGAGCTGCCAAAACCTTCCTGGCCTTGCATGATTGAGTCATTCCATGGCACTTCAAACTGAATGTTCTCCCTGTCAACCCTGAGAGACATAGTTTGCCATATATGGCCAACTGCAGCTGCATCTTCTGGGTGTGATCTAAAATATGACATATACTGTTTTTCCCATTTGCGCACATGGTACCGGGACTCAGATTCGGTGCCCCCCTCAGTTATAAATTGGTTATAAGCCCACTAGTTCGATATATCAGCAACAAAAACCATAGTGAAACTGGACTTCTTGGCGCCGCACCAACCAATCGCTATCATAAATCAGCTATAAATCCCATTAAACCCACATTTTCCGATGGTTTCCAAACGGTATCACCCTGCAACTTCGCGATTTAGCTCACTGGAAAACCAACCTCTATGAATCCCCATGAAACCCTCTGAATTTCACGATTTTTCTAGGAGCCCCAGCCGTCACGGGAATGGTAAAGGTGTCACCATCGAAGATACCACAGCTGGAACCTGACATTCAAAATGGATGGTGAAGGATGGGGACAATCGGAGAATTCGTGGGTTAGCCTCTGGTAAACTGACACTTGGCCATGGAAAAAATCACCATTTTTCATAGGTAAATCACCCATTTCTATGGCCAGAAATGGCATAGCATTCCATAGCTATGTTAAATTACCGCTATGTAGTGGCAATTTAGTGGTTACGAGTAGAGAAACGGGGGGACTTTAATGAATGGATTGCTTGAGTTGGGAAAATCGCCGGTACCATATGTTTGACTCCTGAGTATCAGCTCTTCCTGGAATTTTGGTCCCTTAAGCCAGTTTCTGGGATCTGAACACATGACGAATATACCGGTATACCCTGATATGACAACCTGGCTGGTGGTTGACCTACCCCTCTGAAAAATGATGGAGTTCGTCAGTTGGGATGATGACATTCCCAATATATGGAAAAACATGTTCCAAACCACCAACCAGCAACATACCTTAAGTGACAATAATAATTATAATATCCATAATGTTCTGATGCAAAACGTGCCATTTCACTTTAGGCCTCCTCATGCCATTATCTCTGCAGGTCAACCTGCCTCACCACCATTCAATTGGTTACAACCCATGGATCTATTGCTTCTATCCTATTTAGTAAGGGGAATCAAAATCCTTATGATATCCTTATATATATATATATCTTATATTAGGAGTACCCCACAAACAATGCAAAATTGGACAATTTTAGTATTGAAACCTATGGTCTATGGTTTTGGAGATCTCCGTCTCCCTTCCTTTCAGAACCCCCCCCCATATAGATTGCTAGCGATAAGACTCACCTATCCTCCCTATCCTCTTGCTTGACCCATTCATCCTACTAACCCCACCCAATCTCCATCTCACCTGCAGGTCCATGGAGTTTGATGATTTACCTATGTGAAATTCCCAGAAGTTACCCGGCCTGGTTATGACTAACAGTTCGCCATGGTATAGATGGCCCATAGAAATAGATGATTTACCGTTCTTAAAAATGGTGATTTACCTTGGCTATGTGAAATTCCCAGAAGTTAGTTTATCCAGATCCACCCGTTGTGGGTGCTCGCAGCGACAGCAGTGACTTTTCTCAGCCCTTGAGGAAGGGAATGGTCTGACGCGCCACCTTATCCAGCCTCGGCAAATTTAAGCCACGTGCTCAGCAGTGGGTCGAAGCTGGGCTACTGACGCAGGTTTCTCAAAATGGAGGTAATAGAAAAAAACCACTCAACGCCAGAGAAAAAGTGGTCAGGAAAACAATGCTTTTGGGAATTTTTAGTCGTTCAAAAACATCTACATAAGTCCAACTGCTGGAAAGCCAGCACAGTAAATAGGTTGCCCAGCTCGTCAACCATTCACAAGTCCCAGGATCAGCTAGACATTCCTCTATTCATTGCCAATCAGGCAGATGCCCTGCAAAAAATGACAAATTCTTTGCTGGTGAACGTAGATATTCCCATTGATACCAAAAGACTAGTTAGGATTAAAGTAGCCATGTAAGATTGACCTAGTATTGAGCCACTTGGTGAAATCAGGTTCCCTGAGGATGTACGGACTCCACAGGAGATCGCCACAACCACCCAGTTCTTATCAGTAAAATCCCTGAAGAATTTCCCTAGAATCTTTCAGACCCAACATATCAACATTGCAGATTCCAGACGCAGATTCAACCCTAAATCCTTGAACATTATCAAACAGATTTCCCATGTTGGTAAAGCAATGGTAAACCATCCCCAAAACCACCATTTTCTCTCGCTGGGAGTTCAACTATCCCCAGTCTCGCCAGGTCGCTGCACGTCGTTGCAGTGATGAACCAAGATGTCCTGCGAGCGCTCGGACCGCCGAAGTCACGGCCTGTCCAACCTCTGTGAAGTAATTCCTTCCCTCAAATGCTACTGCGGATGGGCCAAGGAAATCCTGCACCAGTCGATAGATGGTTTATCCCATTATTTTGTTGGGGTTTCAACCATCCTTTGGTGGTGCAGGATTTCGCAACCATGCACTGTAGTATTAAGTGGTTAAGCATGGTAAACCATTAAAGAGGATGGGCCTTGTATCAAACACCCCATACGACTGGGAGTTTGGGGGGATTTGATGCGGGAAGGCATCACCAAAGTCAGTGATCAACTAGTCGTTTTCACTAATGTCCTTTTGGAAAAAATAGGTTTGGGCCGGTTTGGTATATCATCTATCATCATGCCTGTTGTTAAAGGGGTTTGTTCGAACCCTTCTATTAATCAACCAACCAATATCCCAATATCAACCAATGGGAAAAGGACATCTGTCGTTTTTAGATTCCAACCATTTTCGCTCTCAACATTGTGACTTTGTAACGAACTGCTGTACCCAGCCTTTGTTAGGGGGGTGCTGGTGGCACACCTGCCTCATTGCCAATGCCATACGTTCCCTTGTTTCAATGATAATTCAATAATAGGCTGTGGGGTACCATCCCACCAAACGGATTTGTAGATTGCACTTGGCATGTGTTATTGCTTTTGGGCGCTGACTGCCCTGCCAACACATTTCCAAGTAGCTTTGTGAAGCCATCCGTGTGTGATACATCGACCATAAACCCTAGCTGGCCTACTTACACGCAAACCCACCTATTTGGGGTTTATGGTGAACGTATTCTGCAGTTGGAGTTTATAAACCGCCCTCCCTATCTGGGTGAGCAATGAAACAACTCCTATCATTTCCCATTGTACTGGTTGGTTACAGAAATAGGTATTCGGTAAGTTCACAATGGCTGCATCAAACCAGGTTGTATAACCCACGAGTTCATGACCAACCAAAACCAACATTTGGTGCCTTAATCCCAACATGTGTGTGTTAAATCCACATCTTTGGTGATTAAATGCCACATGTTGGCGGGTTAAATCCACATCTTTGATGGTGAATGCTCCATTTGTGTTGGCCAAACCCAGGTTTGGAGAGGTTACCAACCAATACTTGATAGTGAAATCCCGAAATCTCGCGATTAAACTCTCACGTTTGGTAAGATATTGCATTTTTGGTTAGGTTAACAACCATTATTCGGTGGTGAAACCAGTTTCTGGTGAAATTGGCGAACTCACCCATATTTTTTTTCATCAACCATCAGCCAGCCATAATCTATCAATGATATCCCCATGTCATGTTTGTTGGTAAAACGCCATTACCATTTTTTAGCAGGGAATTGATGAATTGTAAATAAACATATGGGTAAAGGCTAAAATTGTGTATCCCAATAATCGGTTGGTTTATACTAAACATATACTATCAAAATCTGTGGTCCAATAGTGTATGGTTCTAAGAATCATAGTTATAACTAGGTATAGTATGACTATCATCCATTATATTAAAGTAGGGCTTAAAGTTTCACCCAAACCCATATCATGTCTTTGTGCCAAAACCCTGTTACTGTAGACACCCTAAAATCACTGATTACTGGATATGTATTCCCCTAAGTATGGCAATCATTGGTAATACTAGATTTTGCAATAGATAATCCATAATGGATTCTGTTCATGGATGGTAAATAGATGGTATAACTAGCTGATGCGTCATAGTGTTGATTTTGACCCATCCCCTGTTTGGTTCTAAACAAACATAATTATAACTCGGTATAGAATCTAAGTAGTTTAAGTAGGTATACAATGACTATCATCCATTATAGTTAGAGTAAACCTTAACTGTTGACCCATCCCGATATCATGTGAGGAGTGAACATATTGGGAAAAAAGGTTCTAAGTGATTGTCCATCAGTATAAACATTTCATCTCCAACAGAAACTTGTTTTAGTGATGGCAACAAAATCCCCAAAATGGGACATTTACCAAACCCTGGTACTTTACCATGATCTGGGTAAATTATAATATTTCACTAACCTGAATAGTTCGGCCATTTGGGGATGATTTCCCTTATTAACCATGATTCCAGGGTTCGGTCGCAGTGAGGTCGTTATAACTTATCCAGCATGTATAATATGGTTGATTGTTGATTATTGTTGGCTATATATTGATCCATTATACTACCATTATCCCATAGTTGGTTTACACTTTCTGAGAAGGTACTTAACTCCCCAAATCATAGCCCAAATACTTCCTGCAATGTGGGGCCCCCTAGATAGCTAAGTTCTTCAATCATGCTTGATCATTAACTATATATATATATATATTTACAATAGACCCTGGTACTTTACCGTTGTCAATCTTCGATACCCTGCAAAAAATTAAATTCTTTGCTGGTTAGTAGATATTCCCATTAATACCAAAAGACTAAAGGATTAAAGTATCCATGTAAGATTGACCTAGTATTACCATGATGCAAACGCCAAGGCATCATCCCTCCTGCAGCAGCGCTTGAGCTCCACAGCTACGCAGCCGGGACATCTCCACGGGGCTACCCCTTGGCCAGGATGACTCGATGATCACGGGGACGTAAACACGTTGGGTTTACACTGTGGTTTCTGGGGAGATCATTGATATTTCTATGGTCTATAATATATATATATACATACAATATGTATGTGTATATATATATGTATCTCTTGACTAGGATTATTTATAGTTTTAAATATTTGTTTATGATGTATATACATAATTCATAGTATTCTGTAATTGTTATACGGGGAAATCATCAGTCATAATGTTGGTACAGCAATAGTAAATCATCCCCTATTTTACCATTTTGATGGGTGGGATTACAACCATCAATTTATATGGGTGGTTTATTAGTCTATTATTGCAACAATATTCTGGGGATGTCATCAATATCTATAGTAATATCTTAAAGGAAAACCATTGCAAGGATAATAACTTTTTTCACTGAAACTTCAGTTGATAAATAATGGACTGACAAGAAAAACCCTGGATCTACCCTCTGGTAAACTAACATAACTATGGAAAACACCATTTCCAGCTGGGTAAATCCACTATAAATGGTCATTTTCCATAGCTATGTAACAAATTACCGGAGGGTATTGAAACCATTCATGAACAGGAATTCTCTTCTACAGAACCGCTTAATCTGATTGGATCAATCCTCACTGGACGAAAAGCAAAGTCTGAAAATCTGGATTCTTGGGATTCTAGGCCTTCTAAAATGGCTCTGACATGAAGGGTTGGTGAAGTCATCAAGTCATCCACATTGTTTGGCTGGGTTTCAAAATTGACCCAAAATAATCCCCACGACTTCTTAAGTCTGAAGCATTATGTTTTCTGCAGGCACGCATTTTTTTGCAACCCATACATGAACCACAGGTACAGTGTAACACCAGGCACACCCCTTAAAAGCAGCATTTAATATCATTTAATCAAATCATATTCAACACAGTACGTGAAGGTGCAGGTCCACTTAGATAAGTGGCTATGTTCGAACTTATGGGGTTTATCATGTGTTATAACGATGTTATAATAGTTTCTAACCATGGTTATAGGTGCAGGCCCAACTGGAACCCCCATGACATCACCCCCGGCTGCCCCGCTGCTGCCAAGCATCTGGCTCTTGTTGACCTCAGATTGAAAAATCTGACCAGCGGCTACCATTGCCATTAGTCACTGGCGCTAAACGTAGGGAATGGGGGGAATGATCCAATCCATACCTATTAACAATCAACCCAGTCGCCCATTCCCGACTAAGCAGCAGCAACAGTAGATTATAATCGAGGCATGTCGAGTCCACATTCTCAAGTGTGTGATTCAACGCAAGATGTGCGGAGTCAAGTTTACCTTGAGTCTGGAATATCAATTGCTCATTTCACAAATATATTCCATAGCAGTAGACATTGGCTATAATAGACAGTTTTCGGTTTCTCCAGTCTCCACCAGCCAGTAGTCAAGCTGGGATGTCTTCCAAAATCCACCGAAATATGGGTCCAACTTGTCTAACCCCAAAGGGCACCAGAAATCATTCGTCTGCAACTTTAAATCAATTGAAATCATCGCAACTTATGGGTTTGTCTGACAATATGGCACCCCCGACTCCAATGGATTTTCATCAATTTCCTGGTTAAAATGACTGTTTATGGCTACCCTCTGGTAATTTAACATAGCTATTGAAAATGACCATTTATAGTGGATTTTCCCATTGAAAATTGTGATTTTCCATAGCTATGTTAGTTTACCAGAGGATATTCTTTATTTTCAGACAAACCCAAAGGAGCATCACCGCTTGACATTCGGAAATTTCACCTCTGCCACGGGGCCATGGTCGCCAGGGAGGTTGCAGCCGTTCTGCAGACATCCACATCCCTGCGGGAACGCTAGATATGATGGGGATATAATGGGTACAAACTGGGGATACACTAATATATAAAAAGAGGGATATTAAATGGGTATATGCTTTGAGATTCACTGTTTGGAATGCCACCGAGAACCACGACCGAGAACCACGAGGAATGGGATGTTATGCAGATGTGATCCCCAAGAATGGATCTTGCAGCTGAACATCACCGTGGTCTGATTTTCGGAGGGTCACGGTGTTCGTTCTAGTTTCAGAGGAGTACATTTAGAATCACAACCCTTCCATTTAGGCACTCAAAACAACGATGTCCTTTTGATGCAAAATAGAGGGTCCGGTTATACCAACCATTTACCTGGAATCGTTGTGAAAAACATTAGCCATCAATCAACAACCCATTGGAAAATTAGGACATCTAGTAGGGTCCCAATCGCCTCAAGAAATCATCCACAGCTTGTCGCATTCGTCCAGCAGCATTGTGGACGGTCGGTTTATCTCGGTAAAGCAAGTCGGCCAACTGTCGCTCCTGAAGAGCCTGATTGTTGGGGCGCAGCTTCAGGAACTGACAACCAGTTTTTTTACACCTCGCCGCTGAGCGTTGACGCAGAGCACATCCCAAATCCAACGCCAGCCTTTTTTTTTGAACCCATCTGGGTGGCCGGAAATCTCCTTGTTCGTGAACCAACCGGCTCTGATCGCCGCATAGACGAAGTCTTCTAGGGCCCCAACTGGTGTGATCATCATCTCACGTGAAACCAGTTCAGTGCTGTTGGTCCCCATCTTTCCAGGATGAGTACCAGTCTCAGATGGCGATTTCCGTCACCTTTCCTCAGGTTGATCTAGTTCTCTGTGGGTTTCACCCCTCATGCCATTGTCAAGGCCCCGTGATAGTGGGTTTACTAATGGGTATTTCCATGTACCATCTGGTTATGACTAACATAGCCATGGAAAATCACATAAATCACCATTTCTAATAGGTAAACCATCTATTTTTATGGGCCATCTATACCATGGCTATGTTAAATAACCAGAGGGTAGTTCCCAAGTTGGGATGGATTGAAATGACCCCGTCAGACGTGGATCCCCAAAGTTTTGCAGATCTTGTGATGTTGATCACCCAGCCGCACGGCACCTTCTATGGCCGTCAACCACTATGAGGGACCATAACATTGCCAATCAGCCAGATGCCCTGGCAAAAAAATAAATTCTTTGCTGGTGAACGTAGATATTCCCATTAATACCAAAAGACTAAAGGATTAAAGTATCCATGTAAAAATTGACCTAGATAAGAGATTCCAAAGGTATAGGACACCTCCCCGTTTTTATCCAGCCAGGCTCCACTTCTACCCATCAACCAGAAGGGGTTGCCTGGGCATTGCTCACGTGGCGGTGCCTTAAAGTGAGACATACCACCTTTTTTGGGGGAAGCAATAGATGATAGATACCCTCTGGTAAATAAACATAGACCCTGAAAATCACCAATTTTTAATGGAAACTAGTCTTCCAACCCCGATGACTGCCAGGGTCTATGTTAATTTACCAGAGGGTAATGTGTAATGAGTTCCCTACATTACAACAAATTACAACAATTATATAATCAGTAAGTACAATCAACCACAGCAAACTCCTCACATTTTTTCTGGTAGAATCCCAAACTTCAACACTAAATTACACTATGATATTATATTCTGTTCATGATTGGCGATGATTTCTGGCATCACCATTCAGAACACAAACGCATAACTATTCCCAAAATAATATCCACCGATTATGATGAACGAGCAAATAGTTTTTGGTATTCCCATTTAATTTCCGTTGTATCCCAAATTCTCATATGGGGGTTTCCATAAATGGGGGTACCCCAAAACGCATGGTTTATCATGTCAAATCCTTTTAAAATGGATGATTTGGGGGTTACTGAGTATCTAAAGATAGATAGATTAGATTAGATTAGATTAGGTTAGATTCATTAGATTAGATTAGATCAGATTAGATTAGATCAGATTAGATTAGATTAGATAGATAGGTAGATAGATAGATAGACAGACAGACAGATGGTTGGGAAAACTGTGGATGGGTGAATATCCAATAGAAACATCCAATGATTCATCGAATAATAGGTGGTTCTCATCCCATCGATGGTTTATTATTTGGAAATAGTTGGTTCAAATCCGTCACGGTTTGCTATCCAATAATAGCTTATTATCTCCCCCCCCAAAAATCCCATCATACCCACATATTCCCATGTTATCCATTTCTTGTGTTTCTATCCGATTCTACTGTGGATGGTTGCGAAATCCTGCATCACCAACCGGATGTTTTTTTTCCCCCAACAAAATAATGGGATGTTTACCACCTATCAACTTGTGGATTTCGCAACTCTTGTCTGGTTGGTGGCTTCAACCCCCTCTGAAATTAGTCAGTTGGGATGATGTTCCATTCCCAACTGAATGGAAAGTCATTCAAAATTCCATGGTTCCAAATCACCAATCAGTTGTGTTTCTATCCGATTCGATCCCCTTTTGGTTTTCGGAGAAAAACGAACCGCCGTTGTCGTCGTGGCCCGCAGCCTGAGGTGTTGCCTCATCACTGCGACCAACATCTTGGCGCCATCTGCCTGAACTTTTTGGGCCGATGAAACTGTCAACAGGGCTGAAGGTGGGATTTATATAGGGCTGCAAAAGGCAAAATAATGAGATTGAATAGAAAGAAATTTAAGTTCAAATAGTCTGATTGATCAATTAATATATGTTAATCAATATGTATATATATATATATATACCGATACAAAATGGGATGATCAAACATGTCTAGCCATGAAGTCCCCAAACTACATGGGGGTTTTCATGGAAACATGTTGGAAACATCAATGGTTTTCACCCCTGCTGATCGGAAGTCCCCAATTCCTAGGGTTATTCCTTAAGTTGGTGAACTAAACGCACTTCCTAACCACTTACTAAGCCTACCCTCTGGTAAACTAACATAACTATGGGAAATCACCATTTTTAATGGGTAAATCGACTATAAATGGCAATTTTCAATAGCAAACTGTTTGTTTACCAGAGGGTAATTGGTTTGTAGAACCGCTTATTAACTATGGTTGCATCCCATATTCACCAGTTATCCCATCCATAAGTGGATCATAACTATGGTTACTATGGTAAACCCAACTATGGAATATGACTATATGAACCACTTATTAACCGAATAAAAAATTATTATTAATATTAACACATATTAACTATGGCTATACCCATGTGAAGGTTTCCTGAAATGGGGGGGCGCCCCCAAATCATCTATTTTAGATTGGGCTTTTCCACTATAAACATTCCATTTGGGGGTACCCCCATTGATGGAAACCTCCACATCATTCCATATTACCCTCTGGTAAACATACAAAAAACTGTGGAAAATCACCATTTTTCATGGATAAATCCACTATAAATGGCCATTTTCAATAGCTTTTTGTATGTTTACCGGAGGGTAATCACTTACGATCCCTGGGATGATTTCGGTTTACCCACGCCTCGAGACAAACGCTCAAGCCGCTGCTGGGCGACAAAGCGATGGCACGCAAAGCGCTGCAGCCCTGCCGTTGTACCTGGCGGGAAAAAACGCAGGCATATCAACAAAATAGGGTTTCATTGACTTGAACATGTATAAATTTGCATATGTGTGTATATATATATATGTTTCAGTGGTGAAAACGAAGGAGCGCAAAAACTCCTTTTAACACGCTCGAGCCACGCTCAAGGCCTGGACGAAAGGTTGAGTGCAAATGCTATGCAAACTCCAATCTGGCTGTTTCAGCCTCCCAAAGTTTTGTGAACTGAAAATTCTTATGTCAGTTCACCTGCAGCTTTGTGCACTTTGAGACGTTTGTCTCCCTGTCGTCCAGCTGCAAGTTCAACTTCTTCACGTTGGATCTTCATGGAGTGGCGCTTCAGGAGGTCGTAGAGCGGCTGCATGTGTGCCTGTTGAGGCAGCTTTGTCAAGCCATCCGATGGATTCACATTGTGGGGAATCCACCTCAAACGGGCACGGAGGTTCGCCAAGCTCTCCTGGATAATGGCAGCCTCCAGCGCAGCTCTGTCGTCCTCGCCCTGAAATTGGCGTTCGGCACTCGATGTGGAATCGAAGACACTCTTGGCGTCGATGATCGCGATGGTCTCGGGGTCCACAAACTTCGGGTCCTCTGCGGCAATGACCGTTGGTGGCCCACGTAGCCCCATCTCCACTTCGATGTCTCTGGCCAAACTCCTTGGATCAAATCGTGAGAATCTAAAACTGGTGAAGGTCGCCACCTGCTTTTCCATGGCTGCAAGTGCAGTCGACAAAGAGATGCTTTCGCACAAGGTCGTACTGCCAGCCTTCCTTCGAATCTTCTTGCTCCTCCAGGAAATCAAACTCACGGGGGCTTCTTCACCACGATTGAGAGCTGGTGTGGTGATTCCTTGAATCCAGCCGTGTTGAGGTTTGGTTTTGCCGGAGGGGTCAAACGATGAGTCGGCGATCGTGGCGGATGTCCTTCTCCGGGATGTGGTGGATCTTGATGGTGATCTTCTGACCCTTCAGCAGCTCCACCACCTGGTTGCAGTCCAGCAGGTGCTTCATGTTTGGCTCGGGGAAGCACCCAGAAAGTATCGATGCACTGGCTGATCCATCTGGCCTGCCCTCTCTTGCTGACCAGTTGATCGCGGCAATCGTTCCCCGTAGCTGAGAGATCTCGTCCTCGTTCAGCAGAGTCTCGGCCGCGTTCTTCTTCAGGATGCGTCGATGAACTTTGACTGGTTGCAACCTGTTGGTTACGTAGTCATCCATGCTGTAGGTGAAGGAAAAGTCGGGGTGTTGTTTGATGCGTCGGCCTGCATAGCCGGATCCACCCTCGCTTTCCATAAGGTTCACAACCTTCCCAAATTTCAAACGGCCCTCCAACTTGTCCATGCGAGCTCGATGTGCAGGACCACCAGACTCAAGCAAGTCGTCCACTTCCAGCACGATGTAGCCCAAGGTCGGCACCTCCTTGTCGGGGTTTTTAGGGTCCAAGTCGCCATCCAAGGTGAGAACACACCGGTCGTAGACGTTGACCCGGTAACCCAGCTCCTTGACAAGGATTTCCAACAAAGACCTTCTCCACCAAGCTGGGCCTGACACCAAGCCATAGACCTCCGTGAGGAGCAGGATGAGCTGGTCCATGTGGTAGCCCTGAAACTGTTCGTCCGTGGGCATACGGCACGCCAGCTTCTGCACTCTCGTCGTTGGCCTTGACTGCAGAAAGGCAGTTTTGGCATCCTTGCCAAATGCGACCCACTTCCTGCTGGCTGATAGTTGTAAAGCCAGGTACATGGAAGAAGTCATTGGTGTCGGGGCTGCCCTCTCGATCTGGTGGATGTGAGGGTCCTTCCAACCAACAACGCACCATCGTGACTTTGGTGCTAACCCACCGTGGTCCTCTCTGGCTGGAAACCTTCATGACCATATTCTTCAGGTAGAACTCCAAAAGCATCTGTAGGCTTCCAGCGGTCCACGTAGCACGAGGTCAGCACGTGGTTGGGATGTTCTCGAAGAAACTGCTTCGACTCCGCCAAGGACAGGATCTTAATGGCTCCAGAGTCCAACAGGGATTTGACTTCCTTGGCTCTGGCTTGTCGGAAGATGTTCTTGTGTTTCTCCGACAGCTTCCTGAACTCCACCTGCCCAGGCGATGTCTTTGCCTTGGTCTTGGTCAGGTACATGCACTTGTCGCTGTAGTTGTAGACGGCTCCTGCTTCACTGATGTTGAATTTGGAAGTTGTAGGTGGATTCATAGTGTACTTTCCCGTTGGGCGATCCAAAGTCCACCTTGGTGTAGCGGCTGCAGGATCTGAAGACACTTCGAAGTAGAGGCTGTGTGTAGGTCTTGGCCACGAAGGAAGTCCTTGAGGTGGACTCGGATAGGGCATTGCCGGTGTTGCCACTGGAGGTCCATCTCGAATCGGGCCAAACCCCAAAGTACCACCAGAACCTTCGTCAACTCGCACACCACTCAGTCGTCGGTCTGGAAGGGTTTGACTGGTGCTTCTGCTGCGAGCTTGGGAGGTGTCCTCAGTGAGGGTTGGAGTCACTGCAGGTTCAACCGTGCTCCGTTCGGACTGGTTGTCCATGATCACGCCATCCATGGGCTGTTGAACCTCCTCCATAGGAGCGTCAGGCTCTTCAGGGATAGGCTGGAGGATCGATGGCTCTGCCCCGGAGGGTGAGTCTCCACCAGAAAACGGCTCTTCCTCCTCTGGTGTGAAGGTGAGTATCCGTCGTCCTCGCCATTCCCGATGCCTTCTGGTGCTCCTTCCCCTTCAACATCTCGGTAAAACTTCACCGCATTGGATTCCAAATCTAACATCTGAGCAGAGAGATGTCGAACCACTTCTGCTCCAAGACTTTCCTCAGAGGTGGCCTTGCGAGTCTGGCCTTTGGAGGCCTTGATCAAGTAGCCACGCATGCTCACCCACACGGTGTCATCCTTCTGGGCAACGATAGTTCCAGGACCAGTCCAACCTTTGTAGCCTGGGACACTCCTCCAAATGTAGACGAGCTCCCCAACGTCAAAGGACTTGTTGTCGGCCGTCCGTGTCCGGGTAGAAACTGCCCTCCTCACGGACTCATCATCTTGCCACCGCAGCCAGGCTTTGGTTGCCTCCTCCCGAATTTTCCATGCACGCTTCATTGGATCACCAGCGGCATCCAGGATAAGGTGCTTGTCGATGGCGTCGTCCGAAAGTAGTGAGGCCGGCATCCGAGGCAAGGTTCCAAATGCCCTTTGATATGGGGTGAATCCAGAGCGGTTGTAGTAGCGGTTGTGAGCTACAGTGACCTCAGAGATTGCTGCCTTCACCTCCTCATCAGTTTTGGTCCAATCTCATGCAAAGTGGTCTCCAACCGGGATTTCAGGATTCCACCAGCCCTTTCGGTACGGCCGTTCTCCCAGGGGGATCTGACGTTGATAAAGTGAACTGGTACTCCAAGATGACCAAGTGGGTCGGTGAAGCCATTGCCAACGAACTCTCGGCCCTGATCTGCCACCACCAATGCTGGTGGTCCATAGTGAGCCATCCACTCCTTTGCAAAGGCTCGGTAGACCGTATCGGCCTGCTTGTCGGCGATCGGCTCGACAATCTGCATGTCCGTGCCCCAGCACAGGCAGTTCAAGAGCAGGTACTCGCCGATGCCCTCCACATTGATCTGCATCAGGTCCACTCCAACCACTTCATTGAAGCCCATTGCCTTGTGTAGACGGCCAGGTCGATGTAGTGAAGGACGTTGCCGCCGTTCGCACAAAGGACAATGGAAGTGATCTTTGACCCACTGCAGGATCTCGGGCTTGACTCCAGCATGCTTGAGGGCTCTCACAAAGAGTTGCAGTGAAGGATGTCCCAAGTTGCGGTGGATCTTGAACAACTCCCGTCTCACCTCAGGGTGTAGGACGTTGTCAGTGGCCGGCTTGGAGAGTTGTAGAGGTCGTAAGGCATGTTTCACCTTTGTCTCAGAGGTTTCTTCTGGTTCTTCTGGATTGGCCGGGATGTCCAAGTCCTCACCCATCATCTCGGCATCGACGTCCTCGTCCTCTTGGCCAGAAAAACGATTGAACGTAGAGGGGCCCGACGTGCCAACTGCTGAAGACGATGGCGCGCCTCCCAAAGTTTTGTGGGATGGAAACGCACTCCATTCCACCTGCACGGCGGTCTCCTCAGTGATGTAGTGATGAATTGGATGAGCTGCAGCTTGGACGATGTAGTTGGCCACGGCCTTCCAGTCATTGGGAAGTAAAATTGACTCTTGGACAGGAAAGGATGTAGTCCCTGTCCATTCGAATTTCATAGATTGGCGGGGCATCGCAGTGGTTCGCCAATTGTCTTGAATGGTGTGCACTGGGCCCTTGAGAGTTTTCATATAGTTGTAGTTCTGGCTGATGAAATGTTGGCAACATCCTGAGGACAACCTGCAACACCAGTGGGCACAAAGAGCGCTCGTCGAGGAACTCGATGATGCCGGGTGACCATGTTGTCTGTGATCTCCCAATAGTCGGCTGCAGGATTGTTGGATTTCACCCAAGCTTGTACATGCCGTCGTAGTCCTCGAAGGATTGCATCGACGAAGGCCGGGGTGTACTTCGCTGCATGCTTGGCCTCGCCGGAAAGCAGCGGTTGATGCTTAGCGTGGTATCCTTCACATCTGCGATTCAGGATGTTTGCCAGCTCCTCCACATTGGTAAGAAGAAGTGTAGGTTTCAGTGCCGGTTGTCCCTTTGTAGTTTTCAACCCGAATCTGCATAAATCCACTTGGACCGCAAAGACACCGGGAAGTTCTCATAGTTCCTGAAGTTCCGATGTCTTCCAAGACGTTGCACCTCGGGGATGTTCAAAAAGAAAACCACGACCACCACGATGTTGAATCTTGGCAATCAATCCACTGAAGCGGACATGTTCCAGTCCTTCATCTTCTTCTTCTGCAACAACTTCTGGATTCCTCTTGTGATTGCTCAGGAATCTCAATGGAGAGAAGGTTGTGCAGGGAGGAGACAAAATCACCAACACTGGTTGTAGATCTCGGATGAGGCGAAGAGCAGCTTGTTGATGTGACTTCTTCCGGAAGTCCCAGCCAGTTGTCAAATCCAGAGCTCCGCCTGGAGTAAAACCATACTGCTTCGCCTTCTCGGTGACTCTGGGAGGAGAATAGACTTCCACAATCGTAGGCTGGCTCTTCAAGTTCTTGGTGAGCCACTTCTGATTCTCCTTGCTCAAAGATCGAACCTTTCCAAAGCCATCTGCACTCGAGTTGACAAAATGTCGACTCATCTGGCCGTAAATGTAACAGCCGACAAAATCTTCAGCCTGCTGGTCGAACTCAGGCTCAGTGAAACCATGCTGAATCTTGAATTCATTCCCGTGGTGCATCGCCACGAGATCAGGGGTTCCAAAAGCTGACACGGCGGACGGAGGCAGGCAGCAGTTCATGCACAAAAAGACCATGAACTTGGAGAAACGTGAGGCCACCAAAGAAGCCAATGCCTTGCCGTTGCGTCCACCCAGCTGAGACTTGTCCGCTAGGATGCGTCCAGAGCGCTGGAGGCCTGAACCGTCTGCTCGTCGTCGCTCCCGACCATGTAGACCTCCTCGGATGGTGCTACCACCACCAGCTCCTGAGCATCGCGGTTCTCGGGATCCAGGTGGAAGGTTGGGATCCTTTTCGGCATCTGATAAGCTCGAAGTCCTTCCACCACTCGTTCCTTGGAAAGTGACCGCTCTCTGGTTGTTTCCTGAGGCTTTGGTGTGCTGGTTCTTGGAATTGGTCCTTGACTGAATCCAGCTACCCCAGAGGCGGTTGAGATCATCCCCATGCGGTCCACCTTCAACTTCACTGCTCCCTGCTCTGGCTTGGACTTGGGAGCTGGCAGGTACTGTGGGTAGGCACCGGTCTTGGTCATGAGCTTCTCGGACTCCGGTGTCTCTGGAACCAGTGTTGTCGTAGACGACGCCGTCGGATCTCCTTCCAGTCGTTCCCATCGAGATCCGCATGTCAGGCATGTCCACCACCGTTGGCCTCGATTTGCACGGCAACGTAGAAACTCGGCCGGGTGGTTGCAATCCTCTGGTTCCTTGTCCCAGTACTTCTGAGTTGTGGAGCGCCTCAGGGGCTGTCCGATTCCCTGCGGAATCCATTCCGTCTTCGTCACCTTGGGCTTCGCCAGGGTCGACTTCTTCTTCTTCTTTTCCCCAACGTTCTCGGGCTCCAGGTCGTCCTGCTCGGCTCCCTTCTTCTGCAAGTAGTCCAAGACCATCTGCTGTCGCGTGGTCTGCAGGAGCAGCAGCAGCGCCATCACGACGCGCGACCATGCCGCACAGCACTTGCGGCTTCCCATCTTCTTCTTGGGCTCGTCCTCCTTGTCCTCCTGGGCCACCATGGCATAGACCGAGGCTTGAAGGCTGCTGGCCGCTGCGCTGGTCTTCTTCTTGGGCGCCATGACGTCGCTGGATGCGGTTGAGGAACGTTTGGGCTGCGCCGGACAGTGTCCAGATCATGAATTGAGCGAAAGGGCTTCTGGAATTGGAAGTTCTCTTCCTTCTCATGCAATTTTTCAACATTCCAAGCTTGAAAACCTGACCTGCCTTTTGATCAACCCCAAGTTCAACACGGTCGACATGATGGCGATCCGGAACATCTTCATCACAATCACCAGCATCCATCTCAATGATCTCATTCCATCGTCCATCATCATCGGTGCAATCGAGCGAGAACTCAGCCGGCTGCCGCATAACTTTTGCTTGCACAGCTTCAGAAGATCCGCCAGATCTCTGGCGAAAGTCAGCAGCCGTAGGTCCAAGGCTGGTGTCTCCAGTGCTCGAAGATGATGGGCCAGACCAACCAGGAGGTGGATCTTGAGGTGGTTGTGGATCTCGGGGTGGAGGTCGAGATCCTCTTTTCGGCACGATCCCAAAGGCATTGAATGGCTGTGGAGGTCCACGAGACTCGAAAGAGGTCACGGTTCCATGCCAAGGGTGCTCCAAGAAGCGGTTGATGTTCACAGGCCACTTGTCAATCAGCACCCTCGTCTCCTCATGTGGGAACCTCGCCACAACCTGCCTTCGGTCTGTCAGTTGTAGTCGTCGAGCTTGAGGGATGTCGAAGGGGTCGAAGAGCTTGAAGCGCCATCCTTCATAGCGAGCCAGGTGCAGCTTGCTGCTGTCCTTCATCTCCACAAAGACGTCAATCACCTTGTTGGGGTCCAAGTTCTGGCCAAGGTAAGATGTGACTGTCAAGTCATCCGTAGTCTGACTCGGGGAGATTGAAGGATCCGTGACCGGGGAATCAGTGCCGTCTCCTTCACCACGAACTTCTGATTCTGCGTTCTCCCGGATCACAGGCAAGATGGTCGGCAATCTCGATCGATCCAGAGGATGTCCATCTCCTTCAAGAGCTGGTTGATCGTCGGGTTGAGGCTCTTCTGCAAGAAGTTCTTCTCCACCAGACGGTTCTGCTTGTAGACCTTCTTCATGATGTAGACCAGCTTGATGTGGATCTTCAGGAGGTAGATCGCCACCATCCGAAGTAGCTGCTTGTGATGGCTCTTCCATTGGCTCTCTTTCCGCCCTTCTCTCAGACGTCTCCGTCGTTCCTTCGGTGTAGGCCACCGTTGCACTTCGTTCCGAAGCATGGGCTCTGCTGGGAGAGCGAGATCGCTCTTCACGGTTGGTGACACCAGCTGAGGTTGCAGGGGTTGCAGTGGTGTCCAGAGGCAAAACCTTCGACTCCACATAGGCCGCGAAAAACGCCTCATCCATCGGCCACCCAGCGTCAGCTTCACAGGAAACCATGGTGTCGCCAAACCCAGCGTCTCCATTGCCCCCCGAAAAGTAGTGCGAGGAACGTGGAACTGGAATTCGAAAGGGGTCGTGTCCATTGACTTGATGTTGTTGTGGAAGCTTCCAGGGCGTCACGCCAAAATCCAAAAGATGTACTGCTCGATGTCCAGAAGGAAGACGCCTCATTGCGGTGGAATGTCCATCAGGGGTGTTGTAGGTGTCAGACTGCAAGTCGATGACAGCACCCACAGCTTCCAGATAGGACACTCCCAAAAGTGGCGGGGTGACAAAGGTGGCGCTGTCCTCGATGATGGTGAACCTGACAACGCCCAAAAGGCCAGCCACACATGTAGGCACATCCACAACGCCTGCCAGCTGGGCTCGTCCACCGATGCCTGCACACGGAGTAGCTTGTTGTCGAACTGGAATGGGTCGCAGCTTCAAGAGCTTCAGCTCCTCCTTCAAGTTGTGCATAGCAGTGCTACCAATCAGACACTGCTCAGCTGCGGTATCCAAAACAGCTTCAAAACCTCTCACAGTCACTCCGGCATAGGTGGCTCTAACCAAAGTCTCCAGCTTGGGTGGGTAGTTCACTCCCATGTCTTGTCGAAACATTGCATAGCTGGTGGTTGTGCTTTGGCCTGAAGGGGTCACCGCCACGAACGTCTTCTTTGGGCTCGGCGACGAAGCAGCTGCCTTGTTAGGGCAGTTCCGACTGACGTGGCCCAGCTCCTGGCATGAGAAACATCTCGTTCGAGCCAGAAGTTCACCTTCGGTGCCACGGATGAACTCATCCTTCTTCTGCTTCGTCGGGGATCTTTTGCGATCGCCTTTGCGGCCCTTGCCACGCCCTTTTCGTGGGCTTCCACCATTGGCCTTTCGACCATGTTTCACGAAGCCTCTTTCCTTTCTCCTGGAACGGAGATCCTTTCTCACATCGTTGTATGCTTGGACGTAGATGGCTTCGGCTTCATCGTACTCCTTGTCCTCGAACTGCAGGAAGTCTTCGTCCTCCTCGGAGTTCGAAGCCTCTGTCTCCTCCTCGAAGTCCTCCTCATAGTCGCCACCTTCGGCTTCATCTTCTCCAGCTTGTAGGTAGGTGCGGTTGGTGCCACCCGCTCCAGAAATCGCTCCAGCGCGAGCCAGGGTATCCAACCGATCCAAAGGCCGAAGAGTACGGACCACCTCGTCGTACTCCATGAGGACGTTGGTCTTCAAGGCAAGAACTTGTCGTTGATGTTCTGAAAGACTTGCCTGCTTCAGGAGGATCCGCCCTGCAATGAGTGGATGTAGATGGGCACCCAACTGCGTCTCCATCTCCTGCTTCTGCACCTCTTTCCTCGCCAGAAAGGACGTAAACGTCTTCGACTGGCGTTTGCCTGAATACAAAAATGTATCCACTGACACCGGACCAGCTGCTTCGAGGTAGGGCTCGTACTTGGTCAACAAGGCTGTCAAGACAGCTCCATAGCCCTTCTCGGTGAGGAGCACGTCCGGGGAGATGGTGTCGGCGATCTTCTTGGCTTCTCCTGATAGATTTTGATATAGCTTGATGCCCCACTTGGCTTTGTTGGTGCCGTTGTCGGACTCCCAGAAGGAAAGTGCCTTCAGCCAAGAACGTAGGCCACCAGGAGATCCATCCCAGGAAGGGATCGCTGTCTTCCTCTCTCCACTGACTGCCTCGACCAACTTGCTCAGCAACAGCTCATTGGTGACGGTCGATGGAGCAGCTGGAGTAGTCGGCACAGCCTTCCCCATGGCCTCAAAGGCTGAGCTCACCGACTTGGCCGCAAAACCAGGCCTCTCTTCTCGCAAGGCTGCACTGAATTGCTGCGCCGTCTCCACAGCCGCCGGTCGTCCTTGAGGTTCTTGTTGAGACTTGTACCGGCTCCAGGGGTCATCTGGTTCAGCTTGAACTCCATGAGCCTTCGGAGAGTTGCTCTGGGATTGCGAGCCACCAGCATTGCCAGGTTCTTGTACAGGTACTGCAGAAGGACCGTGTTGAGGTACTGCATGAGATGGTGCTTGTTGGGGACCTTCAGAAGGAACTTGATGAGGCACTGGACAAGGTGCTGGAACTTGATAAGCACTGCTCAAGGGAGCTTGTTGGAAAAGTCCAGGATGAAGTACCGGCATAGTCCCAGGATGCAATTGCGGTGCGCCACAACCAAGGCATCCAGGCATTCCCATTCCGTAGAATGCCGGCGCTCCACAAGGCACCCCGTAGTGAGCTCCAAAGGCGCTCGGCATGCCACCAGCTTGAAGTGGTAGTCCACCATGTTGAGGTATAGTCCTCCATGAAGTGGAGCTGCATAAGGATGTGGTAGAGCACCTTGTAGACCTTGTCCCGGGCATCCAGTTGTCGGTACCTCCCAAGGCATAGCTCCATAGCTTGTCCAAGCATTCTGCATTGGGCTCATATGATTGGCAGCAGGGTCTGGAAAGCTCGGTGCTGCAGCGGACATTGTTGTCGGGCCAGTCGCTTCGAGATGCCCTTGCGCTGCATTGTTGGCCGTCACGGCCTGATCACCACTCAGTCCAGGCGATGTCGATGAGGCAGCATCGTTCGTTGTGAAGTAGCTGTTCCTCGTCGCATCACCAGTCTGCGGCTCTTCCAAACCTGCTGGTTCTTCTTGGAGTCCATCGTTCCCTTGCCACCAATCATCTTCGTCTCCATCAGCTTCGGCGTCATCGCCGTTGGGAACTCCTTGAGCTCTATGTCGATGGCCGCCGCCACGGGCGCGGAAACGACGAACTTCTCCACGTTGGTGTCCTCCCGACATGGCTATCGGGATAGCTGCCCGGCCGGCGCCGGGCTCCGCTACAACTGTTTCAGTGGTGAAAACGAAGGAGCGCAAAAACTCCTTTTAACACGCTCGAGCCACGCTCAAGGCCTGGACGAAAGGTTGAGTGCAAATGCTATGCAAACTCCAATCTGGCTGTTTCATATATATATATATTGTTTGTATATACATATTACAAATCCATGCAATTATGTTGTGTATATATATATATATATGTTAGTAAAACATAAATAATGGATTTCTTCCGGTTTTTCATATATTTACATATTTGCATGTTCATATATGTCAGACTATTCTGGTTTAACTACAGAAAGTTCCCCTTTATCAATCGTTATATGGAAAGTTTAGCCTTCAGGAACAATATCCATTCTCGTTGGCATGCATGCATACCCTGGTTACAACCCCTGACACCTATGGATGTGTGGACAGGTCAAAACCAGCAAATGAGGGGGTTGTTTTCAGCAACAATACCCTCTGGTAAACTAACATAACTATGGAAAATCACCATATTACAGCTGGGTAAGTCCACTCTAAATGGGCCATGTTCAATAGCTATGTAAGTTTACCAGAGGGTATAGTGATTGAACCAACCACCGAAGTGGTGTCCAGAACCGAAGACATGTTGATCTCATTGGTAGTTTGGTACTAAGGTTACGGACAAATTGCTGCCTGTATAAGTTGACCATGTTCCAATTCACCAGCATCAAACAGGACGTCATATGACTTATTCTATTTTTTAGTGATGTGTTTTTTGCTGATCGCAGGATATGTCAATATCATTTGATGTTTGATGGGTAAAATACATTAAAACACATGAAAAATTGGATGACTTGAAATGTACTGATTTGTACCAACTTAAACAGGGTTGCGGTCATGCCACATATGGGATATATCTGGACCAATCGACATTGGCCACCGCGGTGTTGAATGTCAAATCGAACGATGGTTTTCCATAAAACAAATGGAATTCAGAATTTTATCTTGACACATTCTAATCGTGGGATTAGCTCTCACTCAATGTCCCCTTCACCACGATGAACGTCGCTATTTCAGCCCTGTACACAGGAATGAACGTAGATACAACAGGTTGTTCGCACCATGCCTACCGGTACGAACTAATCTCATCTTGTCTCTATCCGACACAAAGCTAATGCAATATACCGTACCAATGACATTTAAACACCAACAACAAAAATATCCAATGATTTCCAGTGACTAGTGATAAAACCATATAAATTCGTGTTCAAGCTTGTCTTGAGGTGCGTATGGGATTTTCATCGTTCGCCCGTCTCTGTGCTTGCTCCATTTGAGCCTAACTTATCCAAATTTTTTTCGGCCAAGGAGTGGCCAGTTTGGAGATCTGCTGTTCCTGCTGCGCGGCTTCTTGGCCTGGCACTTGGCACCGCGCGGGTGCGGGCCCTTCCAGACCGCCGCCCGGCTCGTGCAGCTCGCCCTGCGGGTCGATCCATCCTTGGACTTTTGGAAGGTAAAAACATCCCTTGCCATCGGGCTTCAGCACCAGCCCACGATCACGGTTCCACCCACCGCCATATTTGTGTCTCAGCACAAAACTTCCAAGAAAATGCATTACGACAAGTTCACCGCCTTTCACCTATGGCCATGACTTGCCAAAACTGGACAAACCAATGTTCAAACCTTCGATAAAAAGTATTATTGGCTGTCATTGGGGCCATTGGCCTTGATTGCTTGGAGGGGACGGAGTGCACGCCGCGAAAGGAATCCCAGGACCCCTGTCTTGATGAATGACCCCCGTTTGGCCTGCTTGTCTTTGGGGAATCTTTCCATTGCAGCTGCGACAATCTCAGCAATGGACGGGCAAATGGGCAAAAAGGGCAAAATGTGTCGAATGAATGGGCTGATGCCGGAAACAATTCATGTGCGTGAAATTTTGAGTGTCCATTGGCCATTCTAGAACTGCTTAATGTCATTCACCACTCATGTCGCTTGCGGGGTGCCACCAAACAAATTCACATGTGCACAAATGATAACAAATGAGGCGACCCTGATCCAGGAATGACAATGGATGCCGGGTGGTTTCACTTTGAAAACAGAAAATATAGAAACCAAACACAAAATGCCAGACACACATGTGCGCACCCCAAAATGATGAGGTATTACAAGCCACTGGGTTTGGTTCGCAAACCAAAAAATTGGACAATAAGAAACACATCATAGCACGGATATTTCTGCTTAGGAACAGGCATAAGCGCCCGCGGGGCCAACCCGGCTGGTTGTGTCTTCTGATCACGCACTTCTCCCAGAAGGCCCGACAGCCTCCCATGTTGACAGGCATGGAAGGCATGGGGGTTTCATCACTTGTTGGGGGGGGCAAATGAAACAAAACATGTAAGCTCATCGCAATTTGCGATCAAGGAGGCTCTTGGCCCCATGGATGCCAATCCCCCCAGGTTCAACCTTGAAGCCAACCTAGTTTTCTGCACGAAATACATGTACACGTACAACTGGATGTCATGTGTGGAAACCGGTAAATACCGTTGCGGTTAAATGCGTTTTGTATCGTTTTGTGAAGATGCATGTGGATCTTCAGGGCTGAACCCACTTGCAATGAAGACCGCGCTCAGGAAAATAGAAGACAAACCTGTTCGAGTTGCATCTCAGCTGCGTGATGAAATAGAGCCTTACCAAACTCAGAGATGGGAACGAAATTGACAGGTAAATACTCTAATTGGGGAAAGGTTGGGATGCCATGGTGGATGCAGGAAATCTGCTAAAAAACTGTTGGTTCCAAAAACCTTTCACTCCCCAACCACCTGCCTCAATGGCAAATTGCAATTTGAGCCAAGAAGCGATTGGCGAAGGCGGAAGCATAATTAAAAGGATTACATGTGAAAGCTGCCCCTACAAGCAACAAAAGCATCCCTAGCTCAGTTGGTAGAGCATGCGCTTTGTAAGCACACGGTCGTGAGCGAAGCGAGGCGCAGCTGGAAGCAACGCCTGTGAGAGCCAGGACCTGTGCATGCTTGTCTGCCCCCCCCCGCCCTTCTGCAATGAACCTCTCTTGCTCCTCTTTCTTTATTCGATTTCTTGTGGCAAGGCCTGTAAGTCTCTTGCACGGCGTAGCTGAACCAGATTAGGACTGAGCCTTCAAGTGTGATGTCCCAGGTACAAACTACCGCACGGAAAAGCCGTTGAGGGCAGTGAAAGCTCAACGCTCATTGTCATATGGTCCACAAGCACGCTCATGAGGTGCAATCCGCAACCGCTGCTGCAAGTTTGTGTGGGCTTGTAGCGCGCAATCAACTCACGGGCCTCTTGCCATCGCAACAGCCAGCAGAAGCAGCCCGTGTTGTCACTGCTTGGCGTTGGAGCCAAGGTCGACTATACAGGAATCATCCGTTGCAAGCCAAGTGGAAGCCGGCGCATGACAAAGGATTTTGTCTTGCACCCTGCAGCCTTACTACGGTTTGTCTGAGAACAATTGTGCCTTCTACCCCTTGCTACATTGCTACCCACTTGCGCTGCCACGTAGGCTTCGCCCAGCGCATTCTTCGCATGTTACAAAAAGAGATGGCTGCTTGTTTGTGCGTTCGTGTGTGTCGAGCCGCGGCAGTCCAGCATCTGCCCCAAGCCCAAGGGCGAAGCGAGGCTGAAGTGAAGTGCATCTGGAAGCAAAGCTGCTGGCGCTTTTTGAGCTTCATGACGGTCCTGCGCATGTCCTCATCCACTAGGCCAGGGCCGAAATACGTATTCACAACCTCTTGCACTTCCCGGCACACGCTGTCTCTTGAGACAATGCCGTAGCTTGCCAGCAAATCTGTCTTAGCTCAGTTGGTGGAGAATGCTCCTTGTAAGCACACGGTCGTGAGCGAAGTGAGGCGCAGCTGGAAGCAATGCCTGTGAGAGCCAGCATGCTGGTATCTGGTGGCTGCGGTGCATGACGTAGATTGGTGAGGGCGACCCCGTGCCATGTTCACTGAGCTCTCTGTGGCAGCAACAACTGGAGCAATAATTTTCAGGAGCTGAGGGCCACCAAAAGAAAAGGAACGACTGGTGGGAGACCGAAAGATTCCTTTTTGTTGAAGTGGGTTGCCAAAATGCAGTGGGTAATCATCAATTTCACCCTTAAACTGTGCAATTCTGGGTGATGTACCAATTTCCCGACACATCCTCTTGAGATTTGTCATCATGTTCAACCCAATGTCTTTGATGGTTAAATCCTTATTTTTCACAACATCTTTGATGATGAACTCATCAAAACCAAGCCATTTTGCACCCCGTTTTCCCTGGAAGCAGCACCAGGCGCCTCGTGAGTCCAACCTCTTGTACCAAGGCATTGTGGGACTGTGCCTGGACGTCGCCGCGCCAAGGGCAGACCTTGGGATCGCCATCGTTGATACTTCAAACGCTACTATAACAGGCGGGTGGTACCCTCTGGTAAACAAACAGTTTGCTATCGAAAATAACCATTTATAGTGGATTTACCCAGCTATAAAATGGTGATTTTCTATAGTTACGTTAGTTTACCAGAGGGTAAATGTCCCATGGCTTGGTGATTTTGCTGCCATCACCAAAAGAAGTATTTCTTGGAGATGAAATATGATGAAATATCCCCAAGCCAGTTGGGTGATGTGAAACATTAGGACATTTACCAACCCTTTTTTAACACATTGTGGGAAGCAATCATATGGATTGATTTGGTGTCATTTCCCAGCCGTGGATTGTTAATAATAAATCCTGCACCAGTTGATAGATGGTATAAACATCCCATTATAGGGTTTCAAGCATCCCAAATTGGTGGTGCAGGATTTCGCAACCATCCACATACCCATGGTATAAACATGGTCACGCCGCCGTTAGCGGCGCTGGACGTTTTGGCAGCTGGCTTGCAGCAATCTCTGTCTCATGAACGTTAACATCCCACCCCACCCCAACCCATGCCCCACGTAGCAGCAACGTAGCATCCACGTGGTGTGCAAGTGCAAATGAACGTTAACATC